TTATTCAGATGAAAAAAAACCCTGAAATTAACCTTCCATGCAAGTCTTTCCTTCTCCTTCAAAAATATATTACACAAAACTCATTTTGTTCCAAAGGCCAAACCTTTAGAAATAGAAGAGAACCAGTCTGATAGAAAAGTTTTTATTACTGGAAATTGCAACCCTGGGTCATCTTTGAATTTCCTTGTAGAAAATCACACATGTAACCAGGGCCTTAAGGTTTTGGAAGGGACTTCTTGCATAAATCAATACCAGATATAAATAATACGAAGGATACTCTAGAATTTCTTGACTCTTTGAGGCACTTACAAAGGTTAGCTCATTTCTTTTGTGCTTTGAGCAAATCTCTTTATTTATGGTTCCTTATTGCCCTTTCTCTGAAGACGCTCAATTTAAGAACATACTTAGTTATACATCAGAACAGGGATTTTCAGGAGTTCATAATTATATACATGATCCACGCATTTATCAACAATTGAAAGTTAAATATTTTCACTTTTTGCAGGGTTAATAATTTATGCAAAAATAATCCCACTGAGTTCTTTGAATGGTTGATAATTTGCGTAAAATAGGGGATTTTTTTTTATTACCTGCCAAAATGAAAAGATTCCAGGTTTTTGAGACCCATCATATCTCTGCTTGAAACATTTTGAATACCTACTCCAAAAATTCAACATTAATAAAACATTAAAGTTCCAACTTAAGCCCATAAAAGTCAAGAAATCCAGAGTTAAGGTCAACCCAGCTCTCTTAACTCTGTTCTCCTGCATGTATGCATGGGTGATGGGACAGTGGGGCAGGCTGTGGCTTAAATCTGTCTTCCTGCATAATCTGAAAATGTAATTGAATTAGTGTATAAAGTATTTACATAGCCTGCAGTGCAGAGCCCCACACACTATATTATCTACATCCTCTCTCAGGGCCCTCATTTTAACTCCTCATTGCAGCGTTCCTGTGAGGCTTCCTCAAACATTCAGAAATTGGACTTGCAAATACAATTTCCCTTCTTTTACGAGGCTTCAAGATGAGTGATGCGCACTCAGCTTTCTAGTTGCCTTTCAGCTCCCGGCCAGACAGATAGAGTTTAGGTAACATTCTTCCTTTTGGTTAACTTCCTCAGGGTTTGTTAGGTATTAGACAATATCATTCGGTGGTTAAGGATTAGTTTATGCTCCAGTTCAACTATATACAGGCAATTTGCTGTATTAATATGAAATTCGAAACATGAGATTGAGTTGAGGAACATGTAATTGTATAGCAGGGTTTTAAAAGCATGGACATTACTTTCAGATAGAGCCAAGTTCCATACAGTCCTTGTTTTGCCACTTAACTGTTACTTAAATTTTCGAAACCTCTGTTTTCTCCTCTATAAAATGGGCATAACAACAGTCCTTCTAATTTTTAAGATTCAATGAGATTGTGATAATTTAAAGAGATGATGTATATAAAATGATTGGTATGTAGTAAGCACTTAATAAATGGCTACTGTTATTATTATCCCTCATTTTGGTAAGGAATAATAGCTCATTGCTTCAATTTGTTCTTATTCCTTCATCCCACATATAGTGTGAGACAGGTGCCTCAAGTAGAATTTGAATGTTCAGAAATGTTAAAAATGAAATTTAACAATGAATGTCAAAAGGGTGTTCATCCAAGCCGTGATTCAAAAAAATGTACAATGATACCGTTTTTCATCATTCAGATTGACAAAGATGAAAAAGAATGGTAATAACCAGTGTTGGGTATGGGGAAACAGGCTTTCTCATATTTTGCTACTGGTATAAACTGGTATACCATTTTGACAGGCACTCTGGCATTGTATATAAAAAATTTAAAACATGCACCTAGTTTGGCTCAGCAATTCTACTCCTAGAAATTTATCTTAAGAAAATAATTAGATACATGTTTAAGAATACTTATAAAAGTCTTATTGAAAAATTGGAGAGAACCTAAATGTTAATACTATGGGACTGTTAAATTACAGTGCAATCGTACAATGGGATGCTATGTAACCACTAAAAATGAATGAATTTTACAAGTGTAACAGGTTTGATTGAGTAGTCATAAATTACAACGCAGATATTTGAAACGGTTTCTATTTTTTTCCAACAACTGTTACCTCAGCTTTCTGTGAAACTCCCCTTTCTTTCTGAGTGATGGATTTCCTTAACCACATCTCAGTCTTTTCGCAGAACTTTTCAATCACTTTTGATTATTTAAATAGTCTCATTCTCTTTATTTAAACCCAAAGCCAGCTTCACAGTCCTGCAACCTGTGCGATTTCACAGGGACTATGCTCAGAAGGGCCCTGAACTTGGTTTAATAGTCTGCTGTTGCTGTATTGGAATTCTTAAGAATTTTATTTTTGAATTTGTGTTTTGTAAGTGCAATTTGATGAGATGATGGAGCATGTGCACTGCACAGAGAAGATACACGCAATATGTGTGTCTGGTATTCCTTGCCGCCCCATTTGCACATAGCATTCACGAAGTCCCTGAAAGCAGAATTCCAGTTAACCCACGATGTGTGAGAGTTCCGTGAGACTCAAAGCAAGTACCAGGTAAGGCAGTTCCATCTATGACTGAGCAAGTGGGGTCCCTGACAGCCCAAGAGGCCATGCTTCCTATTCAAACCACTACTTGCTTTGAATGCAGAAAGAAGGTAATCGCGTTCCAAGAAACTTGAATGACCAAGGAACCCCATCATATCCTTCCACACTTGTGTTATTTCTGGGTATTTGCCAACCACTTATGCTGAACATGATGACATAGAAGCAAAGGGGAAGAAGAGCAGCACGTAATTACTTTTCCCTTAAGTCTTTCTTAGCTCATCAGTAAGCTGGAGGTCGAAAATGTAGAGGGTGCAAATGTCAAGAGATGAAATTAAAACAGTTGAGTTAGTTTTCACTGTTCTGGATTGAAATGAAACAGAATGAAATACATATGCAGGTAAGAGCTACAAAATGTGAATTGGGTCATTTTGGTGATCCTATGTGACTTAAAAGCTTTATATTTGCATTTAAAACTGATTCAGAAAAATATAAATACGAATGGTGATATTCATGCTAATAATTTGCATTTTTAATTTTTTTTACTTAGAACAACATTATATAGCAACCTACCCCCCCAAACCAACAAAACCACCATGACACGTTGAAGGAGAGACTGAAGAAGGACAGAAACAGCCTTATGTTTCAGTACTATTAAGGCCACTTTTTTACTGCTTTTTGATCAAAGAGCCCCATATTTCATTTTGAACTGAGCCCCACAAGTTATGTAGCTGGGCCTGATGACAATGGTGAAAGAAGCAAATGCACTGGGGGCATCTGTTGCTTTTGTTTATCAGCATTCATTCACTCATCTATCAATAGTCCCTGATTTTCTGGAGGCATCTCTCCTCAGTCCATGTTTTAGGAAAGAGTTGATTTCATAGCTGGCTCCAGGGGTGCATGTAAGACTCAAGCTTGGTCAATCAGAATATTTCATTTTCTTGGTCATATTGATTGGTTTGGAAATGAACATTTGAGCCATGTTGGTCTATACCAATCATAAGACTTGTGTAAGAAATAACAGGAAGAGATTCTCTGCCTTTTGTTGCTAGAATTTAACCTGAGGGAAAGTGAGCCTAGAGCTACTGGTGGACACCATAAGGAACCCAAGAGTAATACCAACATGGAGAATGGAAAAGGGGAGAGATAGATGGAAACCAAATACTGCTGATATCATTTGAGTCCCTAGATCAAGCTAGACCTGAAACTAACTGGTGTTTTTAGTTATGTGGGACCTTTTATGCTCAAGCTAGCATGAAGTAGATTTTGTCACTTGCAACATAGTTCTGACATAGCAGATACAGTATGCTTTCATTAATGTTTGTGCATAACGTATCTCTAAAGATATATACCAAACCGGTAACAGTGGATATCCCAATCAAGGAAGATTATGAAGAGGCCTTTCATGTACAACTTTATACTGGTCTGTAGTGTTAGAATTTTGTAAAGCAAGTATTTATTACTTAAAACCAGCAAATGCGATAAAGGTGTTTCCATTTTAGAAAAAAAAAGTAAATGACACTTAATCTTAATGTAATAATTTCCCAAATGGACACAAAAGCAGATGTCCTAAAGTAGATGTCACACGGATTATTCAGTAACAGGAGGTAGTATCCCCATGCCAATTTCTCTACAGAATGACATGGACATGCAGGGCGGCCACAAAGTCATAACGGAAGCCTTTAACCAGCAATTTCACTGTTTGGTGCCATGTAATTATACTGCAGAAAACAGCAAATAGAAGATTAATGAGTTTGGCCTTACTAACCACCCAAAGGTGAAACATTTAATTCTCAAGTAGGCAATCTTTTGTCTTACTGTGTTCTAATGCATGCATGTGTGAATAGAAGGAGAAACTTTGGGTTTGAAGCAGTACCAAAATAGGGCATTGAGAAGGCAGAAAGGAATAAAGTCAGGCAGCTAAGGAAGGTGAGAGTAGTCTCGGGGAGAGGGTTCAGAGAACTCTGCAGAACGTATTTTCACCAGCCTAGGGTCCTGCTAGGTAGAATTGCTGTACCACTTAGAAGATATCCAGTGGTAGTGTTTTATCATTGTGCTCCGGGCTCCAGCAGACACCAGCAGCATCAGGAAGGGCTGGAGGCCAGCATGCCATCTTCTCAGGTTCTGCCCAGAGGTGTGCTTGGTCAGGCCTGGCTGTGTGCCCTGTGGGCCATTCTCCAGCACAGGATCCCGTACGCTCGCTAACCGTTCTGCTCGTGATCTCAGCCCTCTTTCCCTTCCCTGCCTAGATATCCATCATCCCCCCAAACCAGAACTACGCAGACGTTGTCCCCAACCAATCGTTTAGTGGAGGGAAATTTGTTTCCAGTGTTCTCACAGAAAGATGTGAGTGGTTCCTTTCACTCTGACATTGCTTTTTAATATATATGTATAAAAAGCAAAACCATTATCATTCATTTATATTCAATAAATCAGGTAATTTCTTGGAAACCTGCTTTGACAGGGTGAAAATCTCAGGACCCTGGCTGAGGTCCAGAGGACAGGGGAGAAGAGGGACCCTCAGGAGAAATCAAGAGGAAGAGAAGTGAGGGTTTGGGTGTCTGAATGCAGCCTAGGCTACTGCGCCATTTTGCTAGTGCTGACTTTTGGGATCAGTGTGGGTTGCCGCAGTGCTTGGAGGAGGCAAACTTTATTTAGATATTACTATTTTTTTAAAATAATATGAGCACCAGGTGTAACGTTCAAATAGAACAAAAGAGAACCTAGGGAAAAAGTCATCTCCCTCTCACTCCCATCCCTCCTCATCTGTCCTAGAGGCCACCACCACTGGCTTGTGCCTTCTTCCGGGCAACCTGCGCCTGTTTAAGCATGCCTGACTGGGTCTTCACCTTGGCTTTACCTTGACTGTGACCTGTTAAGAGCCTGAACGGCAAGGTGAAGATGACACTCAGCTCTTCACTTCAGCATTCTTTCCGTAAGCAGAATGACAAATAAAGAAGCATATGCAAGAGCTTGAAAGCCCTCACTCTGGTAACATGATTAACTCCTGGACCTGTTTTTCACGCCTTTCGTTGCATAAAGCGGAGCAGGTGACTGGTACATTCTCTCTTTCTACAGCATGGGATATTTCCAATTCACTGCAAAAGAAAGTTCAAACTGCTACAAAAGCTCATTTTTAATTACCCTGAGATACAAGTTGTGAGGAGGCAGCCTGACAGCTCTCATCAATGAGATCAGTAAGCTGTGAAGACATGTGGCCAGATATGTCTTGTCATTAATATATACAGTGTGATCAGATGCCATCATAATTGTTATTATTACAGGATCATAAAGCTTTAGAGTAACAGAAAAAACAAGTACCTTTGTTTGAAAGGTCAGCCTTTCAAAAACAAGAAAACAGACTGAACTCATCAATAAAACAGGGGCGCAAAGAGAGATGAGTATGTGTAAGGAATTCTTATGAAAATCAAGTAAGCAAAGACTTTTACAACAGTGTTCACATTTAAATTAGGAGGTGGAAAAACGGGCTCCTAGTAGATTACTCTACATTGAACTAAATGTTGAAAGAAATAACCGCAATGATTTTCTAATGTCTGTAATTAGCACTGACTAGCAATATAAATTGGCTTTCTCAGATAAATCTGTGTATTTGACTAAATTTTCAGGATTGAGGTTTTATAAATTTAAGCAATGGGATACATATATTTCTACAGTAACTAAAGAAATAAGTTGTCTACATCAAGAAATAACGATGCGTTTTCCTTTTAAAAAGTATGTGTGCCTGCGTGCGCATGCGCCTGTGCATTCGGCACGCTGTGCCCACAGATCAGCGCAAAGAGGGCTTTCCAGAGGATCTTTTTCTTAATGTAGTGTCAGATCTTAAAATAAGATTTAAGGGCTGGGAAGTCTGATTGAGTGGGACTGAGATGTGATTTCTAGTAGTAGCACTCACTAGAACGGGGAGGACAGAAAATGCTGTTTCTATGTGTGGGAGGTCGGACATTTTGGACAGACATTTTAATTCAGCCTTTTCTTTTGAAATCAAGTCTACGCCGTAGCTACCTTGAGATGTGTAGTTGCTTATTCTGTTTAATGGATTGTTCATCCTCTCTGTCCTTGAGATAATCCTAAGCATGTGCATAAAACTGAGATCCTGTTGCTCATAAAAACCAATCAGCCCGCAGTTGGTCCACAAGGTGTTGAGCACTCGCTGGAGCAGATGGGAAAGATAAAGTTTAATAAAGAGTTAGAGGATTAGGTGGTACAAAACAAGCAAAGAGAAAGGGATAATTTGATTTCAGGTGAACCTCTGTGACATTTCTTGTACCCAGAGACAGATTAAAATGATTCCAAAGCCATGACTTTTGGCTCCTCTTCCCCAGGGCCGACCTGGCTGCATACATTGTCAGCTTTTGACTCTGCTGGCATGACCATCACCGGAATCTGTGAATAACGCAGAAGACAGTTTCTCAGGTTTATGAAGATGTATGAAGTGAGTCATTCACCAATGAATATACATATGAGGAGATGACAGAATTCTGCTAAATATGTTTATATTTGAACAACTGATACATCTGAGGGTGATTTAGAAAGGGATGTGCATAAGTTTATATAAATGACAGTTAAAAAGATAACTGTCACAATGTTTACTGATGAGATTTCTATTTATCTTAATGTTTAGAAGTTAAATGAAAAACGGATTGCGGATTACAGCCTAAGCGGGTTTGAGCCTGAATTTAATATAACAACTTGTGGCAAATGGAGGGAGCGGGAAGGTAGCGCCGACTAGTCCGAAGTCCTCTGGAGAGGTAAGGTCGTGAGGCCTTTACAGCTTGAGTACACCGTCGTGTATTTTTCATCATGTTTACTTAAACAATTAAATAGAGGCTGGAGAGGTGGATTGAACTAGCTCTTTGTAACTTGCTGCTCTGGGTTCTGGCATTCAGTCAGACGTGCCACAGGTTCACATTGCAGCCATGGGCCTTAGATGGCATTTTGGTGACACTGCTGAGGAGCTTGAACATTCAGGTGGCCGTCACTGCTCCTGCTTCGTCCTTTGCTCTAGGCCCTGGGCTGTGCTCTTTGCTATTCTGCTTAGTTTACTGCAAACTCTGAGAAGCACGTCTCATTTGAGCTTCTTGCAGTCTGGACTAATAGCCTGGGGAAAGTTACCAAACAAATGTAACCTCCTCTGTTGGCCTAGCTGCTCTTACCTGTGTTTGCGGCGGGCCTGGCTATTTGGCAGTGCACTTACACACTGTGGAAGTGCGCTTTGGGACGTGTTAAACTGGATTGGGGAACATTTCAAACCATTCCTTAAATAATAGAATTGAAATGTTGTGCTGCTGAAGTGACCTGGGATGGAAACTTCTGAGTGAAAAGTTAGATCCTGGTTTTTCTTGAAGATGAAATGGAGCCCTGGGGTGTGTGGTTTTCAGGCTTTCTCTATTTGTTAATTTTGGACATGGACTTTTCACAGTTGTACTTCCCTTTTGCGTTAAGCTTTCGGTTTTGCTTCTGTAGGCAACCTTGTCTGGGAAACTTGGCACTGTCCCTTTTACCTTGATTCCAGTCAATAGGCCCAGAGGCAAAGCAACATTGGATGCAGCCATTAAGAACCATAAATACATATATTAATTTTATAGTATAATCAGTGTCCCTGACCTACTAACAAACGTAAGAAAGCAGGGTCCCAGGAAAAGGACCCTGCAGATTGTCAGACTTTTCTAAACCTTGGATCTCAATTAAGAGGCCTGGAAAGAAAAAGATCTAGCTTTTTAAATTAAAATTTTTTTTAAAAAAAAATATCCTAAGTGGATTTTTTAAAAGCAAAGAAAAGCAAGGAAATACAACTTTCAGAGGAGGAACAGTACACACATTCCCTGGAGGGGTAATTTAGACCTACTGACAAAATCTTTCTTTCAGGTTTCAGAGAGTTAGTCTTAATTATGAAGGCGAATACCTCAGCGAAAGACGCCGTGGCTTGGGAGCTTTGAATGGAGATACACAAAGAAGGCCAAGCTTTAGGATTCCTGGGCCCAGATGAAATATAATAACCTTAATTAGTCTTACAGCATTAATGTTTTTGCTGTTATAAAACAATGTTTATCAAATAGAGGACGTTCATGTGCCATCTTCATGGTGTTTGCCATGACTGCCTATGAGCAGGGCTATCACTGATACGTTTCTCCAGATTGATTGAGCATGAGGTGTCTGGGGACTAGGGCTTTGAGGGCAGCCCTCAGTGAAGACTTGGGTACACTTTTCCCTCTGGTCTGGGGTTAACTCGACTTGATTCATCTTATTCAGGGTCGGCACAGGGAAGTTGTTGTCTGGGAATTGTTACGTGAGCTATTACCTATGAAGCAGTAACACTCCTGTGCAAACACACTGGCAAAAATTCCTTTTATGCACTTGACCAACGTGGAAGACCACTTCAGTCTTCCATGGTGGAGCCAAGGACTTCAGGAAGAGTTTCTGTCAATGTGGCATGAAGTCTAAGCTGTGTATGTCTATGTATCAGTATCAGATGCCACACATTTCGTGGAGTCCTCGTTATAACCTGAGATAATGTTTACACTGTCATCTTCTCTCTTGGTTTTTTTTTTTGGCTGCTTAAATCAAATGCTATTGTCCAGTTTAATATCCCAGTACCTAATATGACAGGCTCTACAATACTGGCACTGGGTATCAGGACTATAGCCTTTTAATCCTCAGATCAGCGTCTCTGAAATGGAAAGTATTTTTTTCCATACAGTCCAGCTTCCCATAGCCCAGTGTAGGAACTTCCTCCACAGCATCCTGATCGTCCTAGATAGCCTCTTGTTGAACACTCTCAGTGATGAGCACTCGCTAGTTCTTAAGCTAGTCCTTTCTCTGTCAGAAGCTCTAATTATTAGAACGTTTTTCTATAGAAAACTCATTCTGCCTCCTTGTCCCTTCACCCTTTTGCCTCCGTTCTCCTCTCTGGAGCTACAAATATAGGTCTATTCCTTCTTAAGTTAGAATTTCAAGATTAAATATTAAAGAGATTTTTTTGTACTCCCTAAGTCTTCTCTTTTCCAGACAAAACTTCTATCACTCATTCGTTCAGAAAAGGTTTATTGAGGGCTGGCCCCGTGGCTGAGTGGTTAAGTTCGCGCGCTCTGCTGCAGGCGGCCCAGTGTTTCGTTGGTTCAAATCCTGGGCGCGGACATGGCACTGCTCATCAGACCACGCTGAGGCAGCGTCCCACATGCCACAACTAGAAGAACCCACAACGAAGAGTACACAACTATGTACCGGGGGGCTTTGGGGAGAAAAAGGAAAAAATAAAATCTTTAAAAAAAAAAAAAAAAAGAAAAGGTTTATTGAATAGGTGCAATGAGCAAACGCTGGGTTAGATGTGGTGGGTGAGGTAAGGGTGATTCAGACAACTATTTCTCATTGATCTTGCTTACAGAACTGTCAACACACTGACCACCTTCTTTTAGGTGAACTTTCCTATCATTTGTTTCTACATTGAGAGCTCCTTGGGGGCAGAGACCATGGCTTCCCCTGAATATTCCCAGAGCCTGCTATTAGGCCCATAAGCTGATGCTCAATAAATGCTTTCTGACTTTCCTCCATTCATCTAAAAGTCAGGCCCCTAAACCTGATCGTAGTGTTATTCCCTTGGTTTGACCAGTACCCAGCACAATGCAGACAATATACCACTTGACCTGACACTGTCATTGTGTGTGGGCTCATGAGACCTCGGTCTACATAGACTGCTGTAAGATTTGGTCTCACGTGTTATCTCATTTAAACTGCCCAACAACCCTGAGAGGTAGATACTGTTATGTCCGGTTTTTAGGTGAGAAAACAGAGGGACACAGGGAGATAAATTGATTTATGCCACAGGTGTTCTCTAATTCTGTGTTCAGGACTTTTTTCTGATAGGAACCCTAGCTCCTGGTTTTCCACCATTTTCTAATTTTGTATTTAAATTTTTGATCCCAATATAGAACTAACCGTTATCCTTACTAAATTATATCTTGTTAGTTTGGGCCTGTACTTCTAACCTGTTGAGTCCTTCTGGAATCTTAACATATTTATTTTACCCTCTTAGCTATTCCTTTCAGTTTGTGTTCTTGTTACTAATGTGCTAAGCCTATTCTCTTACGTAATTTATTGATGAGAAAGGCTGATGGTCCAAAAGCAGAGAGCTGTGTCATCCGTGAGAAACTCTACTCCAGGGTGCCATTGATCCATCAATATGGTTTTGGGTACACTTGTTCACCTATTCTATCATGTAGTCCAATTTTTCCATTTTGACCATAAAGATAACATGAAAAACTTTGCCAAATTAAAGTGTATTTTATTTTCAACCAAATGTTTTCCTATATGAGTTATATAGTTTCCTGCGCAATAAGCATACGACACAGTTTTTTATTTGCTATCCCAGAGGATATGATTTGATTCGTATTATAGTTTAATATATGTACTAATGAATAATGTTTTTGAAAGAGCTATAGTCACATATGTAAGTTTTATCATCTATTTCTCTCTCATGATATTTTTCCTTTCCTCCTTGCCTTCTCACATTTCTATGTACTATATGTTTTAAAATATGAGGGAAAAGATGTGTTTAAGAGAAAATGAAAGCCTTGATGCAAAATAGTATATTTTCCCAACAGAAACACTCATTTCAATGTATACACGCAAAACTTTAAAACCTGATTAAAAAATGTATGAAGGAACTCTATCATGTGGAGAATGTTACTTAGGAGCTGAATTACAGGATTTCTCTGTCTCTCTTTTTCTCTTGCTTTGGGCAATCTAGTCTAATTACAAAACTTGCCTTTCATTCTGTTTAGTGTTTTTCAGCTATGCATGAAAAAAGTTAATCAAAAAATAAAATGAAAAACTATGATGGCTAATTGAAGTCCCATAGATTTCTCTGCTGTTGCCTAGCCTGTCTTTGGAGATGAACTCCAAAATGTTACCTTTAAAGCATCATTAGATGTGCTGTGCCTATTGGTTTCTGCTTCTCTTAAAGAAAGAGAAAAAATTCCTTTAATTTCAGAATTTTTCAAAATTAGAAAATGAAAATCATAGCTTCTTTTATCCTCTATTTGTAATTGTTGGGAGGTTTTGTAATTATAGAAAACACTAGACCAGTAATCTCAGAGATGGGTAACATCCCTCTTTATAGCAGACAGAGAAAGGCAATTTACCAAGCCCCTCTTGTCCCCTAGTGTGCATTTGTAGGGGAGGAAAACAACTCTTTTCCTCTCTACCCATCTTAGGTTCATTGGCTGGGGCCCTGTAAACTTGACTGAAAAAAGACAAATTAACAAGAGAAAAACAAACAAGTTTATTAGCATATGCATCGTGCATGCAATGGGAATACTTAGTGATGAGTAACTCAGAAGAGTGGTTAGAACTCGGGCTTATGTAGCATCTTGACAAATGAACAGTAAATTTTTAGAGAAGTGACAAGACAGAGAAAAAGGACCTTGAGTTTCTAGGGTGGCAAATTGTGGGAAGATTAATATATGAGGGAACTAATGGAAGATAAGGGCTAGGTAGTAGAGTTTGTTATGTGGATTCCTCTGGTGCTCTCTCTGGGCTGATACTTGTCTTTGGTAACATCTGTCCTTCCTGGTAGAAGGGGGAGGGAGACATCTTTACAAATTTATATCCCACTTTTAGGCAAAAAGGGGGAGGGAAGAGAGCTTTTCTTGTATCTATTTCTTCTCAGTTACCTTCAGCTCAAAATAATCATTCTGCCCAAGAGGCATATTCTGGGGTGGTATATTCCGTTACCTATCACTTTGGAAGGACATTGGATTAAAAGAATTGCTGATTCTTGGCCTATCCTCTTTCTGGTTCTCTCACCTAGAACGTATTCTCAAATGTCAAACTCTAGCCCTGGCTGTGGGTTTGTGTGGGTTTTCCCTCAAAGGCTGAGATGTCATCTTAGCTCATTTCAAACCCCCTCTTGACAACGCTGCTATAAACCAAAAACAATGCGACAAAGTTAGTGCCTTCAATAAATATCATTAATTAACCCTGAGAAAATCACAGATCTGTTTCTTTGTTCTTTAGGAGATGAAAGAAAAGGTATAGGAGAGGAGTGGGAGATTGGTGAGGATTCTGAGAGCCCTAATATTGTTTTGAAAGATTGTTGGCAGTAATAGTGGGTTGACGGTGGACGAAAACAGCACGTTATCAATGCAAGTTTGTGGCATTTTTAGTTGAGCCTGTCTCACAAAAGGAGATTTCTGGATGGGGTATGTCCATTGCTCCTAACAACCGTGTGTTTTTCAGCTGTTCGAGGCGAGTGGTGTTGAGAAGCAGCATATGCTTCTTCCGTCCATGCAGAGCAATGAAATTTGCAAATATGTGCTAAAAGGGAAAAGATAGTTTCCCATGGCAATTTATCTCCAAGAAAGGACAACTTCCCAGGATAGTGACAATGGTTGCCAAAACCTCACTGAGAAAAAGAAGTCAATTGCCCAAATTTGGGCTTAGATGGTGCTGCAGCTGGCTCAGGAGAGTGACCAGGGACCATCCGTCTGCTTGGAGAGAGGCGTCGTTCTTGGAGCCATGTGGATGCAGCCTCCCTTTACTGATACTGGATGTATGAGAGTCCTGGGGACTTCCAGAGCGTCTATTAGTGTATATTCACATGGCGCAGCATTGGGGAAGTCTGCTGAAGTTTTTTTTTTTAATTGCTATTTAAACTTACTTTCATAGCAATCTGAGTAAAATGGAAAATATGTTAGAGTCTGTTGAAGAAATCTGTGAAGGCTTTATCAATAACAGCAACGTGACCGAAGTCCTGTGCACTTGGGTTTTTGGTAAACATTGAAGGCCAGTTACTTCAAGGCGTTAAACGTGTAACTCTCCTATTTTAACGTCCTGGCTGAGACAAGTTTGGCATTCCAAATTTTAGCCAGCAGCTGACTCAACAACTGGGAAGCCAATTAACCAAAAGTTCTAGCTTTGGCTGTTTCAAGGTCATATTTAGGACATATGAAATAATCAGGAATGTTCTCAGAGAACAACCAATAGAGGCAGTGAAAGGTAGAGTCTGAAGCTGTAGTGCATGTCAAAAGAGGCATTTTTCAAAAATTGAGGTATAAGTGACAACGTTATATTAGCTTCAGGTATGCAACATAATAATTCAATATTTGTATATATTGCAAAATGATCACCACAGTAAGTTTAGTTAATATCCATCACCATACACAGTTACAGAATTTTTTTTCCTGTGATGAACAGTTTTAAGATTTACTCTCTTAGCAACTTTCAAATATGCAATACAGTATTATTAACTATTGTCACCATTACATCTCCATGACCTATTTATTTTACAACTGGAAGTTTGTACCTTTTGATTCCCTTCACCATTTTGCCCACCCTCCACCCCCTGCCTTTGGCAACCACCAGTCTGTTCTCTTTATCTATGAGCTTGTTTTTTTGCTTTGTTTTTAGATTCCACATATAAGCAAGATCATACAGTATTTGTCTTTCGCTGTTTGATTTATCTCGCTTAGCATGATGCCCTCAAGGTCCATCCATGTTGTTGCAAATGGCAAGATTTCATTCTTTTTTATGGCTGAATGATATTCCGTTTTATATATATGCCACAACTTCTTTATCCATTCATCCATCAGTGGACACTGGGGTTGTTTCCATATCTTGGCTATTGTAAATAATGCTGCAATGAACATGGGGGTGCATATGTCTTTTCAAGTTAGTGTATTCTTCAGATAAATTCCAGAGGTGGAATTGCCAGTAGTTCTGTTTTTAATGTTTTAAGGAAACTTCACACTGTTTTTAAGAGGCATATTTTAAAATCCAGTTCCAGTGAGTTGCCCAGGATTCCACTGAGGTCGCTGGCTTTATTATTGTGAAAATTTTGGTTACATGAAATTAGGATAAGGCTAAATTACAAAATCAGCAGTGTGGTGTTATGAAAAGATCACTGACTCAAGAAATTGAGAGACCTGAGTCTTAGTCCCAGGTAATAATCATTAATCATCACGTTCATTTGTGAGCATTTGCTGTATATGTCAGGCATCTTCGAATACATTTTCTCTAGCCTGTGCAATAATGCAGCCAGGAAGATATTATTATCCCATGTTCAAGTTGAAGAAACAATTTCAGAGAGATTAAGTGACTTCCCCAAGGTCACTTAGCTAGTAAATAGCAGAGTTAAAATTCAAACTCAAGACGGTCTCCTGAGGCTGTCTCCGCTGAATGCTCCCTGTCCTTTCCTGCATCTTCGTCTTTCCCTCTGCTATCTTCCTTGGAGTACTCTTCCTGCTCATCTCAGTCTGTATGACTTTTAGTCATGCTTCAAGCCTGACTCCAGTCTGGTGTTTTGAGGAGGACTTCCAGGAACACTCCCATTCACTGGTCTCTCCCCACCGTCCCTTCACAGCCCCTCATACCTGCTGCTCCCTTGACACCACTGATGTCTTTGGTATCATCTCTATGGCCTTTGGTGTTCCCATCTATTGTGAATGGTATTTTCAGTGTGGCATCTCTCCCTCTCTTCTCTCTTTCTCATTTATAAATTTGGAAGACATTAGGGAAAAAACATGTTAAAATATAGGAAAGTACCATATATTCACTATCCCAAATTAGGAAAATTTACCATTTAAAAATACTGGTTTCATATATTTTTCTTCAAATGAAGAAATAGCACCTTACTGATCGAGTTGAAGTTCACATTATATACTTTCCAACCCCATTCCCCTCCTCCCTCTCCAGAGGCAGTCACCAATCTGAATTTGGTGGCTAATCTTTAAGTCTATGGTTTTTGTTACACATTCTGATATTTGTAAGCAATACATAATGTCATTTTGTAATTTTTTTTGTAAAAGAATGTAGTGTAATTACTGCATATATCTTTTGAAAATTTGCTTTTTTAACTCAATTTTTTTTAAACTAGCCATATTGATGCATTTAAATCTAATTTATTGATTTAAGTTGTAGTATACCATTTTATGAACATAATTGTCTTATTTGTCTAGTCCTCTTTTTATGGACATTAGGGTTATTATATGAAACTTTTTCAGGGTATTGGTTTCCTCTTTACAATTAGACACTAAATTCTCTGATCGAAGGACTGTGGATTATGCTTCTTTGTGCTTAGCACGGTAACTGCAATTCAGTAGACATTCAATAAATGGATGCTGAATGAGCTGATGAAAATAGCTGGGGGAAGAAAAGATCTTCAACTGTGAGAGGGTTAACATGATTGGAAGCAGGTAGAGGGTGACTTCAAGGAAGTTAGTTGAAACGACATTTTTTTTCTTGTGTTTATGGAGATGAGAAAGTAGGGTAATAGGAAGCTGCTTGAAATGATAATGAGATGAGCACAGGTAAGCTAGTAAATTTTTTTGTCAATCAATTTTGTAAAAGACTAGTAACAGAAAATATGTAAAATAATTGATTATAAGCAAAAATACTTAGAAATGTGCTTAAGTGTATTTGGCAAGTCAGTGCCAATTTATGGCTAGGCAGTAAAAATTCTATATCCACTTCTAACTAGGCCATCTCCATGATTCACCTTGGAGAAATTTAATTAACCTTGAATATTTGACCTTCAGTGTGTCAACGTAAACATTTTCTCAGCCTGGCTTCATGGAGATATGGCAGCTGTGCTTGACAGAGATAACATTTTTCTTTAGAAATGTTAAAGGCCATGATGTACTTCCTTAGTTTTGTATCTTCCCTTCTGACCCATTTGCACTTTTGTTACTTTCCGAGTGTTGTCCAGATGGATCACATGCAATAATGAGAAGAGAGGTGTGAGGTCAGGAGGTAGGAGTTGTTGTAAGGAAGAAAGGAGTTTATACTTGTGAAACTTTAGAATAATGTCTGCCACATAGACCTCAATAATGTTAACTTTTACTCTTCTCTCTTACACTTCTTACAGCAGAAATATAAGGTAGTTATTTTATAGGCTTTATTGTAAGTCACCAGGATGGGTACAGAGCTCTTTATGTCTCTTCAACCGCAGGTTAAACTTTGTTCTGAGGATTCTGGTGAGTGAAGGTCAAAGGTCTCCACAATGGGGAGATGTGAACTCTAAAGGCTCTCTATCCAACGGGAGCATCAAATGATCAAGAAGAGGCAGTGAGATTGGGCACTGATTGGATAGTTGGAGTAATATTAAGGTTATTATTTCATATGTAGCTTCTTATGATGTTGATTATAATATGATAACTATAGGACCAATCTTACTTATTCATCCGCTCACTCAGTGATCTATTGATTCATCACTTGTTTAACAAATATAAAGCATGTATGGTGCCTGTGACAGTTCCAAGTACTTGAGATACACCAATGAGCAAACAGAAAAAGATTCCTGTCCTCCCGTGGGTTACATTCTAGTATAGGAAGTCAGAAAATAAGCAATAAATAAAATAAGTAAATTACTTAGATCATTGGAAGGTGATAATTGCTATGGAAAAAGAAAAGGCGGATCAAGGTAAGGGGCATGAGGAGTGCCTGATCCGGGTGGGATGGACAGGGTATGATGCAATGAAAAGATGAGAACCGAGCAGGCTTAAAGGAGGTGAGGAAATTGGCTGTGCAGATACCTGCAATCAGAAGAGCTAGCACTAAGTCTGTGCCTGGCATGTTTGAGGTAAGAAGGCCTGTGTGATTGGAGTGGAATGAACAACAGAGAGACTCATAGGAGGTGAAATCAGAAGGGTTATGGAAACAAGATGATGTAAGGCCTGCAGGCCATTGTGAAAACTTTGGTGATATCCAATGGAGGGCTTGAGTTAGTGTTTCAAAAGACCACTATGACTTCTGTGTCAGAAGTCAAGGGGCGAGGATAGAAGTCAGGAGACCTATTAGGAAGCCACTGCAGCTCCAGGAGAGAGATGGCAGTAGAGGTAAGAAGTAATTTGCTTCTGATTTATTTTTAATGTAGAGCTGATATCATAACGGATGAAATATAGGGTAGGAGAGAAATAAAGGGACCAAAGAGTACTCCAAAGACTTTTTGGCAGAGCATCTGGAAAGATGGAGCTTCCATCGACTGAACTGTTTGGATTAGGTTTGGCCAAGAACATCAGGAATTCTTTTTTCAGAGGCATATTAACCATCTGGATATACAAATGTGGAGTTCAGGAAAGAGGTCTTGGTTAGAGATATAAATTTGGGGGTTTTTGGCATATAGATGGAATTTCAAACGATGGGATTAGACAAGATCACCAAGGGAGTGAGTGCACACAGAGAAAAGGACCAACAACTCAGAGCTGGAGGGAACTGCAAAATTAGGGGGCTGGCTGAAGAAGAGAAACTAGCCAAGAAAGCTGAGAAGGAGTGATCAATGAGGTAGGTGAAGAGAGTGAGTCATAGATGCCCAACGGAGAAAGAGTGTTGTGGAGGAGCGATGGACCATGTCAAGGGCTGATGAAGAGTCAAGTAAGATGAGGAGTAACAGTTGACTACTGGATTTAACTCTGTGAAAACCATTTGGTGACCTTGATGAGAACAGTTTCATTGGATGTGTAGGAGTGAAAGCCTGCTTGGAGTGGGTAAAGGGAGAATGGAAGGAGGTGAATTGGAGACAGTAAATAGACCAGTAGTCAAGACTAGTCTCCTAAAAGGAATTGGAGCACCTCTGTCCTCAAATACTCCTCTAGTGGCCCATTAACATACCAAAAAGTACCAAAGTTAGAATTTCCTTACTTCACTTTAGGATAGCTCTTGTATTCAACCACTGAAAATGTAAATATCCTCAAACTGATATCTCAAAGTTATAACATCACGGTGTGGATTTGTCTGTTTGCACTGAATTCCTGGAGTGACAATGAAATTGTAGAATTTCAGAGCTATAAGGGGTCTTAGACATGATACAGCCCAACCCCTATTAACAGAGTTATAAATTGGGAAAGTGACTTGATCAAGGGCACATACTTGGTGGGTGACAGAACTGACACTAGATCCAGGACTTCTGTTCTGGTGCCTTTTCAACTGTACAATATTTTCTTTTGGATTTGATTCAACATGATCGTAGGAGAAATAAAGACTCGAGGAGATGCTGTGTAAATGTCTGTTAAGTGAAAGAAGGAATGAATGAATGAACTAATAGATGAGCAAAGACAAGACAAGGTCTGAAACTCATGGGAAAACCAGTTGAGTGTCCGTAAGGCTGATGATTGGAGATTTGCTCTGAGATACAACAAGAGAAAAAAGCCAGGGTGAGAAATTGTAATAGCTAAGGGAATAGTAAGTGTGAACTGCAGACCACGGGGTGAAGGTTAGTGCTTTTTACCTTGAAAGCGCCAGGGATGTTTAAAATTGTTTTAAAAGTAAATGCAAACTGCTAATGAGGGTTAATGGAAGGGACTGAAGATGGAGAAGTTCTTTACTAATGAGAATTGGAATGATGACATTCTTTTTCCTTTTAATCCTCTCTGACAACATAAGAAAACTACTGACTTGGCGGCAGCAGGTTTACAGCTCCATGAAAATAACCAGAGACAAGAAGTTTCAACTTGCTGGAACTCTTATTATATGCTTGAATGACTCCTGGAACAAAAGAAAGCTGTGTATGATTGTTTAGGAAAGTATAAGATAAACAAAGCATATGTTTTCTAACATCTACTGACTGTGATCGGATAGTCGTGTTATATTGGTCTCTGCTCATTTTAAGGTTATGTGATGATGATGACTTTAGTGGTTCTTAAGTTCAGTACATAAATAAATGATGTTAAGATTCCACTTTAACTTATGCCCCTCAATTTTTCATACATATTTGCTGCTTTTCTTTCAGAAGGGAAAATGCACGTTACTTGTTCTCTTGGAAACATTCCATCCTGTTTTATGCTTTTCCTTTCTCTTTTGAAAGATCCCCCTCACACTGCATAAATAGAAATGTCCCTGAGATTCATTTGATTTCATGGATGGCAGAGTACTCATTTCAGATATCTTTGGGAGAACCAGATAAAATAGCTACACTATACTGCATTAGCTGATTTAGTGCCGGGGACTGTTGGAGGACTCGATGGCTGTGGGAAATTGTAATGGGAAACTCAAGTTAATTTTCACTTTAAGTTCAGTGCTTTGAAACCAGTCGAGCTGAGGGTAGTCAAAAGTTATTCATATCTGATTGGACTGTTCTCTGTTCCAAGTGAAACAGGTGGGTTGTGTCTCTGTTTTGCTGGTTGTAGGGAAAACAGTTCTCTCACTTTGGTGCTAAAAGTCACTTCTTGAGCGGTATCAGCAGAGAAGTGGCTGAAAAGGTGACTTGTTCTTTCTTGCAGCCATTACTTTGTCGGGGTGAAGGCATATTGGTGAAGCAGTGGGGGAATCTTACACCTCTGTTTATCGGGCTGTATCTATTCTTGGGAGAAAAGAAGCCATCCATTTGCAAGGCTGTCAATCCGATACCCCCAGCCACCACTAAAAGCCACTTCAATTTATTTCTCCAGTTCTTTACACTTAGCAGAGAGTTTATTGTAAAGATATATTAACCAGTAGGATGCCTTTAAGATAAATTGTGCTCAACTTTGGGAAGAGATAGCAACTTTT